GTTGACCTGATACGTGAGCTAGTCTATTTCTTTTTAAGATCGCTTTCTTTAAGCACTGAATAATCCACTTCCAGTCATTGGAAACTGACTGTATCTTATATTCATATGTTTTCACTCAGGATCTGTTGCAGTTTATATTCCCTACTCTGCTCCCTTTTGATAATTTAAGGACAAGTAGTCTCTGTGATTCTGGAGACTGTGTAAAGTAGGTGGAATTTCACTCCTGCATGCATTGTTACCTGTACCTAGTTGAGTATCAGTGCCAATATAGTAGCTTATAGTACTTATGATGTGCCAGGTACTGTTCCAAGGACAATAGGAGCAATAAGAAGTGAATTTGTATATTTTATAGCACGGATATTAGTTAACAAATTTGTATTTATTTAACTCACTGGATTAATGGGCACTCTTCATTCTTTCCTTGTCAGCTGTACTGACTGATGCTCACTGCATTGTTCCCACCAGTTGAATTATAGACTTGCCAAGGATCATTTTATAACTTGGGCTTGTATTGTAGTTACACAATTTAATTGCAAAAACCAAGGAAATAATGATTGCAAAATGAAAGAATTGTTTCCTTGAAAACTAAGTTAACTGCTCTAGAAAGACTAACTATAAGGTGAGTCAGTAAGAAGAAGGAGATATCTATAAAAACATATATATATATTTTTAATCTGGAAGAATTCCTTCATTTAAATCCTTGGCAAGTATCTTCAAGTTCTTACTTTATAAAGAAATCGAAACTGGAAATTGCAGATGATGTATTATGGGTGTGGCTTGTGTGAGACTGCAGTCAGTGGATCTGTAACTCGAAGGGCCTACCTCAAAAGACTGGCAAAAGAATGTACATTTATATGTTTTAAGTTCAAAGAAAATAGGATGTACTTTTTTTTGGATTCTTCAGTCTAACCTGCTTTTTTGATTAATGTCATTGATTTTAGTTATATTGATTAAAAAGAATTATTCAGTGTGTGGATGGCATTGAAAAGAAAAGCAAAATGAAAAGTCATGAAAAGTGGTGGGACTGTTTTGTCACAGTAAGAATCATCACTTTATAGACCCTGAAATAAGATCATATACTTTTAAGTAGTACCACATAGTAGACGTTGAATGTCTTCTTAAAGGAAAATGATCTCTTTTTCTACATTTTATAAAATTGTAAATTTGATACATGATCACCTTAAACTAAATTTGATTTCCGAAAAGATGTTTAGCCAACCGTTCCCTTTCTGTCCTATCATGTAGTTAATTGTAGCAATTAGAAGATTTCATATATGGGTATCTAGTGTTAGCTGTTTCACACACCAATACCATTTATTTATTTATTTGTATGCGACAGGGTCTCGCTCTGTTGCCTAGTAGTCTTTGTTGTTAGAATGTTTTTCTTTCATTCTGTTTTTGGGTTCATGATGGCTGTATTCAGGTATTCTTTTGATGGAGTAGGGAATAAGTGATGGGAATGAGTGGCATTCTGAATTTTGTTGCCTAGACCCAACTTAAAGTCATGTAACTGAGGTGTCAGAAAACTTCAATACAGTAACCTGTTTAATAGGAAGTTTTACCTTTAACATAAGAGAAAGAAGTTTTCCATACAAAAGTTCATCTATATCTTTAATTGTACGTTATTTTGATGTTTCCAGTCATGATAACTATATTGATGACAATAAAATATTATTTGAGGACTAGCAGGAGAATATTTTTTTTCCATAGCAAAGAAACTTGAAAAAAAGAAAATGAGTAAACTATTCTGTAGTTTACAGAGCTGGAAAAAGAAAATCTCTATTTCGTAGGACTTCTTTTACCAGTAAGACATTGTATCTCTCAGACCATCCATTTGAAAGGAGGGTGGGTAGGGAGCAGTGGTACTGGGAGAAAAGGGTGCTTTTGGAAAAACTCCTTCTCCTGGCTCTGTATTCTTGTTATGCATCATAATTTCCCAAGGGGCTATCACTGTGTTGATGACAGCTTTCCATTTTTCAAAGATCAAGAGAGGTTTCAGCCCTTGCAGCTCCAAATGGGAGAGCAGAGTGACTTCCCCATGATGGTGCCATCTAGTGGGACTGGTGCAGCCTCATGGATTGTCTGTTGAATTTGTCCTAACTGTTCAGAACATTTTCAGCACTTTTTGATGTCCATAGAAGGAAGAAAGTCAGTGCCACTGTGGTTTCTTTCCTAGTGGACAAGAGTGTTACAAGTAGCTGCAGGCTTTGAACTTCCTGGTTATTGTAGATCTTCTATCATATTACTTCAAGTTTTTTACACCTGCAAATTAGATACATACCACAGAACTTAGGCTAAAACCAAATGGCCAAATCTCCACATTTATTGCTTACATTTAAGTTGCTCATTCCTTATATTTGGGTTTTTTATTTTTAATTTCTAATTTTCTTGCATAGTGCAAATTTTAATTTTCTTACATAGTGTATTTATATGCATTCAGTTTCTCTTTCTGTTAGCATATTTACTTCATAATAACAGGTAAGCCAAAGGCATTTGTTTTGGGCTTTGGGATGCACTATGTTGCTTTTGTTTAGAAGATTGTTATTTTCTGTCATTGGT